CCCCCAACACACCCCCACTCCCCGCCCTGGATCTGAGAGGGGCTCGGGACTGGGTTTTTCGTCTCCACCGGCATGTGGCCCTTTCCCCGTGTGGGAGCCTCCTTGGTGCCAGTTCTGTGCCCTCGAGCGCAGCTGCGTTGGGGCATCGGGCTTTCTGTCTCCTGGGGCTGTGGGTGCCTCTCTTCTCTCTAGATTAACCGGCTTCTCGGTCCTGACCTGGTGTGGGCCAGGTACTTGCCCCCATCCCAGGCACAGCCGTGGCTGTAGTATGAGGGTGGGGGCCAATGCTCCTCTGCTTTGCCGGTTTAGAGAGCTCCTGCCCTGCCGGCACTCAGAGCTGATGAGTTTGGTTTTGCTTTGTGCTGCCTGGGGCCGGTGGAGGCCTGGGGGGCCGGGCCGGGCAGCGGCAGGGGCTTGGTGAAGTGGGACAAGGACCGAATCCGGGGCTGAGCCGAGGGCTCCTGTCTTGCTTGGTGTCTTGTCCCCGGTAGAGGCCAGGACCAGAAACTGTCATCAGCCCAACGCCAGCAGCCGGATCATCCCCGGTGCCCTGGGCTGGCAGGGACTGTCCCTCTGTACAGGCAGGATGGGTGTGTGCTGGTGGAGGGCCGCACGCTACTGCCTGTCCTGCTGCTGGGGCATGGAGCCATGCAGGGGAACAATGAGGAAGCAGTGTTACTTGCCCATGATTTCTTTTCTGCAGGGCCTTTGAGCTGGGAGTCTATTTTACTTGTTCTTAACTATTTATGTTAATAAATAGACCTGAGCTGGACCATGAAAACTTGCTGCTGCGTGTGTCTAAGGGCTTCTGTTTGGTCAAGGGCAAGCTGGGCTCGGGAGCTGGCTTTTGTCTGCTTGCCTGGGAAGGACGGGCACTGCCCAGAGGTCAGGGGAGGAGAAGTAGGGTAACTGCAGCAGGAGATCCCTGCCTCGGTACAGAGTTACTGGGCCTGTAGTCCTGCCTCCTGCTAACTTTTTCCTGCCTGTTTGCTGGCTCACGCTGCCTCCCTGCCTTGCAGGGTGCTTGGAGAGGGTCTTAAAACCCATCTTGAGGGGGAAGAGGTCACTGACTTGGTGTGAAGGGGCTCTGGGGCAGCCTTGCCCACCTTGTTTGCCAGGAGCAGGGTTTCTACAGCGGGGCTGGCATGTACATGCTTGCACTTGAGACTGGGCTCCAGCTGCGTCCCCACCTGGGCATGCAGGCAGAGACCTGGATGGGGACTGCAGGCTTTCTGCACTGTGGGTCTGTGCTGGGTCGGAGCTTGTTTCCTATCCTCTGGAAACCACTTCCAGAAGAGACCTGGACTTCATGAGCAAGGACTGGATGAAGTCAAAGTTGCCAGCCGGGGCCGTGCAGCGTGCTCCGTCACTGCCACCTCGTGGCGTGGAGAAGGAAGGATGGCTAATGTTAAAGTGTGCTGGCTTGCTGGCGCTGAGGGCAAGAGACCTGGGCCCAGGCTACTTATGGAGATGATTTGGGTTTAAGCATCTTCTTCCCCTCTTTCAAGGCCTCAGTTTACAGGATTTGGACCTGGAGCAGCTCTTGCCTCTGGGGTGAGGAGGAGGTGCTTCTAGGAAATCATCTCCCTTTACCACCAGGAGGGCTTCACTTTCCCTTCTTTTGCTGGGAATGTTCCTGTGACCTTTGCTGAACAGCTGCAGTAGCCAAGGTTTAAAATCTCCAGTGTAGCTAAACAAGAGCTGTCCCTAGCTCCAGAGCACGTAGATGTGAATTTGGCAGTGGGGTGAAGGTGCATGCATTGCACAGGCCAGGAGCTTGTGAACCGGCCTGTCCCTGGAGCAGCTCTGATCCAGCCCAAGCAGCTTCCCAGTACCCCGAGCTCTCCCTGCTCTTGCCTGCAAGCTCTCCACAGCCTGAAGCGCAGCTAAGGCGGTGGCCTGGCCTCAGATAGCAGGCACGATCGTCTCTTGTGGGGTCCCTCCTGTGCTGCCCATGGGAGAGGAAGAGTACCAGACCTTCTTAGTGTCCTGCACCTCTTCACCTCCTGCTACCCCTTGCATATATTATGCAATTAATGGGCAGTTGCATAATAAATGTACTTCCTGCCCCCAGAAGCACAGCCGGGCACTGCTGCTATAGATGGAGAACAGCCACGTGGAGCCACAGCTGCTGCTGTTGAGGAATAAGTCTGCTCTGTCCCCAGCTCCTCAGGCAGGGGCAGTGCTGGGCACGTTCTCCCTGTCTGCCCCAGCAGCAAAGCAGGGGCTCAGAGAAGTGCCTGAGCTGTAACTACCCCATGCGCTTTGCCCCATTTCATGCTTACAAGGGAAAGGGGGGGGTGCTGTACCTTTGCCACAGGTGGAGATGATTCACCCCAGCATCTCCCTGCAGGGCTCCTACCTGCCCTCGTGCCAGTCTGGTCCCCCCCTCCACAACAGAAATGCTGCCCTGCTACCACCAGCGCATCACGGTCTCACCCCCAGGCTGCGAGCAGGGCAGATCTAGCATTTTGGAAAGGGGGGGACCGACAGTGCCATGTAACATTGCACACGTCGTTCCCTGGGTGCAAAGAAACTGGCAGCTGTACTGCGCTACGAGGAGCCGAGGGCCGTACAGTTCAGTTTTACACTAACGCAAAAATGACTGCAGCTTGCTCAGGATGTGCACTCACCCCCTGGGTGATATATTAAGTTTTAAAAAAACACAACAAACTGGGCAAAAGTAGCGAAAAGAAATGGTTTCATTAGCCCGGTAGTCCTTCTAGGCAAAGTGGGGACTCCTCGGCGATGAGAGTGGGAAGGGACCGCAGGAGATCCGTCCAACCCCTTCCCTGCCCCCCGAAGCAGGGCCAGCCCCGACTGCATCATCCCAGACGAGGCTTTGTCCAGCCGGGGCTCAACACTGCCCAGGATGGAGACTGCACCACCGCTCTGAAGAGAGTGTCCCAGCGCTTCACCACATGAGAAAGTTTTTCCTAATAGCCGACCTCAACTTCCCTTGCTGCAGCCTGAGCCCATTGCTCCGTGTGCTGTCGTCTGCCCCCACCGAGACCAGCCCAGCTCCGGCCTCTTTGCTCCCCCCGCAGGGAGGTGACGGTGCTGTTCAGTCCCCCTCACGTCTCTTCTTCGGACTCACGCCCCCTGCCCCCCCGGTTGCCGGTTCTCCAGGGTGTCCACATCCGCTCCGCAGCGCGGGGGGCCTCCCGAGGTGGGCTGCCGGCGCGGATCCCGCCTGGATCGTGCT